AACGAACTTCTTCAATCCGGCGATCTCCAGCTGAGGTTCGATTGACTCAATCCATGTGATCAAGTCGTGTCGTCCTTCGAGCGGCTGCGGCACAGCGATCTTGTCCGGCGAAAATTTGAAGTAGCCGTACGCTGGCGCGATGCCTCCGTCGCGACCAGCCGACGCATGAGTCGCCGATGTCGGCCTGGCTCCACTCCGCTGAGGAGAAAGGCGTCGACCATCGATGTTGCCGTTCGAACTTCCCGCTGCCGCCGAGCGCTGATTTCGCGCATGCATTCCGCCGACGCCAATGTCGGCGGCCCGAATCACTCCACGAAGCCTCGTGCTGCCTTCGCTGCCGACTTGGTTACCACCGTCGACCTGGTCATCGACGTTCCCTTCGTTGCGCACCGGTCGGGGAGTGGCGGGCAGACCATCCGCCTCAGTACGGGTCGTTGGGTGTTCGCGCACCCACTGCACGCGGGTTCCAAAGAGCATAACCTCCAAGGTTGCTCCGCCGTACTCGCCAGCTGCGTGGCGTGCCCGAACGTCTTCTAACCGCGCCTGCAGGGTATCCTCTACGCCTGCAGCGACCTCCTCCTGGTCGACCATGGCGGTCTAGACGGCTGCCGGCCTACAACAACTTAGGTATTGAGCACTAAAGTCGGCTACTCTGAAGGTTCTAACGCGGGGCCGTTCCACGCTCACCGCACCATGCGGAGAGTCACCCTACAACGGGAGTGGACTACGAAGGAGGGCACGGAGTTGTGTGGGTGATCGCAGCGCTCTAGTAGCGTTCTAACAGAGTTCTCACTACTTGCTCTGTTCACAGAGAGATTTGGCAAGAGTTTCCACTAAGGAAATTGAAAGTACATTGAAAATTGAGAATTAGAGTACAAGAATGAGCATGCAAAGTGATATCTCTGGAATGGCATTGCAACCCCTAGCAACCATTCTGCAAGGCGAATTGCCAGCACTGCATCAGAGCGGTTCGCCAACGCTGAAACAGAGCGGTCTGCCAGCGTAGCAGAAGGGCGACATGCCAGCGCTGCAGCAGGGCGGCCTGCCAGCGCTGCATTCGCAGGTGAATATCTGCGCAGGTGTGCACCTGCCGAGTAGGTGCAGGTAGACGGTTACACCGTCAGAGACATTGCGCAGGTGCCAGGTAGAAAACGCTCCGACGGTTTCGTCAGATGTCCACCGTCGAGCACGTGATGCCATTTCGGAGGTCGAATTTCGCTAAGAGCCACCTGAGCGAATTTCGCATGCCCTCGCAGAGTTTCGCAGTCGTGCGAATTCGGCCGACCAGTTCGCCGAGCTGACGCTCGCCGAACAGCGCCCTTCGATCAGAGAACGCGGCTCCTCGGACAGCACCCCGTCCGTCAGAGATCGCGCGACCCACTAGCAGATCAGAAGACGAGCTCGTCGAACAGCACCCCGTCGACCAGAGCTCGTTGACGGGCTGGTGAATCAGAGGACAACCTTCCTCGAAAACCACCCGCGGTTTCAGAGGACGGGCTGATCCAATGCGACGATAACTTCGTCGAATTCACCACGTCGAAGCGGAAAATGCCTGCACCCAAGCGAGGGCGGGGCCTTTAACTCCGACAGAAACAAGGCACACAATCCAGCAACGACAGTAACCGAGCTCACCTCACGCTGCTGGAATGCCCTGTTCAGCACATTGAGCTGCTCGAGCACGTCTGCAAGGAAGTTTAGCAGAAAGTGAAACCTATAGCTCATGGCGAGCTCGTAGAGGGTGCTGTCCCACTCATACAGCATCACGATCAGCGCCGGGAAGACCTCTACCGCGCGCAGAATCGCGTCACTGCGGGAGAGCCAGCGGACGTCGTGAATCCCTTGTAGCTCCAGGTTCGTTTTCGTAAAGACCTCCTGCAGGCCAATGAAGCGTTGGTGCCACGGCCTAGAGCGCCCCAAATGCTCTGCCACTTGGCGGAGCAGGGAGTCGACCATCCCGAACTCGGGGAGTTCTTCAGCAGCGTCCTTTGCTGCGAGAGCCTCCCTGCATGCACAACAGCATTGAAACCGGCTCAAGGAGGGGTTAGCAAGGGATGCAGCAGGGACTCTATGGAAGCAGTAAAGAGAAGAAAAAAACTGACCTGTGGGCGATGCAGTGGCTCGAAACGAGATGCGGGATCTTGAGGCGAAGTCCGCGACCAGGCCGTTGTGTTTCCCCATCATCACACTCGCTCCGTCCGTGCTTATGCCGAATATCCTCGCAAGTTCAATGCCAACGGCCTGCAGGTGGGATAGGAGCACTGACAGGAGAGAGGCTGCATCGCCCTTCTCCACGGTAATCAGAGCAAGAAATTCAGTCACGGGACGATAGTCACGGATGAATGTCGCGAAAACTATCATGTGCTTTCCGCGACACCTGTCCGTGCTTTCGTCGCATGTGATGCCTAGGTATGGGCTGCTAAGGATGTGCTGCAGTTGCGTTGTGTGCAACCATGTGGCCATCGACTGTGTCAGCTGCCCGAAGCCGTATCTGCCGCGCAAGTCAAACAACACAATGTTAGAGCTTTCATTTGATCATCACATACACGGTTGCGATTACAGTTTAAAAAACTCACGTCGTGTAATACGTTCCGTAGCCCTTAGCGGGGAACCCCGGCACCTTAAGCTGCGCGAGGTAGCGCACAAGATTCATCCATAACTCTATGGGTGCATCTTGCTTGGTTACGAAGAGCAGGGAGTCGAGGAGCTGGACGACACGCTCCTTCTCCGTGTCGCGAGCGAGATTGTCGGTGTTGATCCGTGGCTGCGTGGATGCTTGGTCGAGGAGCTGCTGCTGGTGTTTCAACGTATCCTTGTGCTTGGTAGTTGCCGCATGCCATTTGAACGCCTGCGTCTGAACGTCTGTGGCGCCCTTTCCGCCCCTCCCACACGGTCCAGCGTAGCCTGCGTGCTCCGTACAGATGCTGCACTTGAAAGCAGGGAAACCGTCAGCCTTTTTTAGCAGCCACTCGCTCTTGTACTTGTACAGAGCCTCGGCGTAAGTTTCGTCTGGCCCTGCTGGTTTAGAAGGCCCAGGTTTTGAGGGCGACGCCTGCGCGCCTGCGATCGCGGGCGTCGACTGTTGGTCGGCTGGCGAATCCGGTGTTGCTCCAGGGGTAACTCCCTTCTTGCCCCACGGCAGCGTTGACTGCGTGTACCTGGCGGACTTCTTAGCCACTGGTATCGCCGCAGTTTCTTCAACAGAAGGGTTGGAGCTGTCTTGCTCCAACACGGGCGCAGTAGGGGAGGGGCACAGAGGCTCGTCGATGGGTTCAAATGGATCATCGACGGGCGGCGCGACGGCAGGGGCCTTTCCATGGTTATCAACGGCCGCTAAGTTAGAGAATAGCAGATCCAGGCCGGTAACAGCAGCGGACAGATCAACGGGCGAACGACGGTCGGGTTCATCGTTGTGGTAACCATTTCGTTCAATGGCGTCCGGGTGGTCCGCCATTGATTGCAGCGCGACCAAGTAGCATCTAACAAGATGGGACTAACAAGCTAGCCTAACGTTCGAGGTCTGCCAGGGAGAGAGAACACACGGCTGACTGCCTTTTGGTACACCAGGCAGTAACGCGATGAACCCCCAAGCAGTTGGAAGGAAGGCATGGAGAAGAACGGGATGTGAGGCTGGATGGCAGGTAGCACGGCTGGGAGGCGTGGACAAAACGGGCCACTGGCCCACTGGACCACAGGTGCATCACATGGGCCACAATCCCTCGCAGCGCAGCCTGCCAGCATCGCTGTGCTGCATCACATAATGTTGCAACTGTGGCCAATCATCGGACAAGGGGCGCCAACTAAGGGGCCATCAGTGTGGGCAAAATTGTCCGGTAGTCACCGACAGGCCCTGCTGACACCGCGGGAATCCGATTTTCCCTGTACTTCAGGTCATGTACACTCGGACCTTGCGGGATTCGCTTTCAGGGTCCAACTCGTTACAACGTAAAGGCATCAGTGTCACTAAAAAAAAATTGCTGAAAGTTCAGAGTCATGTGGCATGTGACGGCTGAAACATCAGCCCCAGGAAAAGCTGAACACTGGAAATTCAGGGTAGGTAAAAAAAAAAAGCATGCAAATCAGGAATTTCAGGGAAAAATTCCTGATATCGTAGGGCCTGATGGAGGGGGGGGCTCTCTGGGTGGAGGCCCCTTACATGGTGGATGCTCGGATGTGAGCTGAGAGGGGGGGGGTATGGAAGGCGATATGGGGTGTCTCGGTGGGGTGTATTGATTGGGTGCCTTGATGGGGTTTTTTATGAGTGTGCATTTAGGATCTGGGTGTTTTGATGGGGTTTTTCATATGTGTGCATTTAAGATTTGGGTGTCTTGATGGGGATTTTTATGTGTGTGCATTTAGGATCTCCGTGTCTTGATGGGGTTTTTTATGTGCGTGCAATATGGATCTCCAAGTGTGATGTTCCACCTTGTGATGAAAACGAAACACTATTTGGTTCTCGAAAAACATGCCCCATACCTCTATGCTCAGCACTAATAGAAAAAAACATCAAATATGAGGGTTTGCACTATACTGCTCAGGACACGTTAACGACATATACGAAAATCCGTTCTTCTGCGCCATAATGTACCATATATCTAGCAGGCTCAGTGCGTACGAACCTCGTGCCACTTGGCAGGTATTGAGTCAAGTTCTAATGCACACGATTGAGACAAGCCGAATGGCGCCCCCCATATAACATCCCTATTGGACACGCGGTTAATCAAGCGCGAGAGAGAGGACAAACAGAGCCATGTTCAAGCAGCTTAGGTGAAAACGTTACCGGAGCATGTGCTTATCATAGGCACGTGCTCGTATCTAGCTAAGGAGGTGTCACTTGATTTGGTACTAGGCCGGTACAGGCCAGCACCACAAATGGATTGGCTATGGTACGTGCTCAGATAGTAGGCAGGCTAACGAGGATGCAATGCAGTTAACCTGATACCGAGGGCGTTTGTTCTCTAGCTACTGGCGTGTCTCGTACTCTATTCATTCCCACTGTCCTGTCAGGCCTGCTTCACTGAGGTTCCCTGGTTCAGACCATCCTTGCCTTTGTTGGCGACAGCACCCTCGAGAGCAGCGGCCTTGGGAGCAGCGGCACTCTTGGGAGCAGCGGCACCCTTGGGAGCAGCGGCACTCTTGGGAGCAGCGGCACTCTTGGGAGCAGCAGCACTCTTGGGAGCAGCAGCACTTTTTGGAGCAGCAGCAGCGTCAGCAGAAGGGGAAGGGGAAGGAGAAGGAGAAGGAGAAGGAGGAGTAGGAGAAGGAGAAGGTGAAGGAGAAGAAGGAGGAGAAGGAGAAGGAGTGGGAGACGGAGCAGCAGCAGCACTCTCAGCTTCCTTCTTAGCCAGCTCCCTGTAAAAGTCCACGTACGAGTATGTCAAATACTGCGCTCGCATCTGCTGCATATCCGCCCTCTCCTGTGCACTCAGTCCCTCTTCCCCAAGCCTCTCCCCCTCCTCAGTGCTGTTGCTTTTGGAAGGCGAGCTCTTGGGTTGAGTGGCGTGCGAGTAGTTGGAGGAGGAATAGTTAAAGCCCTGGTATTGGGCTGTGAACGGGCCGTACGACCAGTCCATCTGACAAGAAAGGGCAGGGAGGGAGGGGAGAGAGGGGAAGGAGCAAGGGGAAGGTGCAGGGGGAAGACGCAAGGGGAAGGTGCAGGGGGGAGACGCAAGGGGAAGGTGCAGGGGGGAGACGCAAGTGGAAGGTGCAAGGGGGAAGGCGGAGTGAATGGATTAGGAGCAAGGGTCCGATGGTAAGCATAGTAATGATCATGAGAAAGTGGAGTGCATATGTAGGAGCTACACGACGACTAAGAAAAAGCGCCAGACCATGCAACCGCATAACAGCAGCAGAAGAGGAAACGGAATCACGAATGAAAAGATGCTAGAGGAAAACGCGGAGGTAAGGCCGTCAGCTCGACGAGGCAGGGCTGAACGGCACGGAAGAAGAGGAGGAGGAAGAGGAGGCTGGGGAGCACGGGGCGGGGAGCATGGGGCGGGGAGCATGGGGCGGGGAGCACGGGGCGGGGAGCGTACAGGAGGCATAGCCCAGTCGGCAGACCAGATGCTTGCGCACACGCGCAGCGGTGACACCACATTAACTGCTTGGTTGTGAGGGTTGAAGCGCGTCTCACGGATGGGCCGACCGTCCACATACCAGCTGAGGGCAGGGAAGGGGGGGAGGGGTTAAGGGCGTGAAACCATTGCTGCACCTGATTGGACTCACAGGCACTATGTCCCTTGGGATAAGGAAGTAGTGAGCAGGGAGAGAGGGAGCAGAGAAAAATTGGAACGGATTCGAGACAAGGGACAAGGGACAGACCTATCAAGGAGCAGGGAGCAGGAAGTGAGGGAGCTAGGACAAGGGAGGAGGGACAAGAGGAAAGGAACCAGGGAGAAAAACCCAGAGACTCACACAATGGCCTCGGGCGACCAGCGCACGCTGTACGTGTGAAATTCGCTCGTGGCGTCGAACCACGGCTGCATCTGCTCCTCGTGCCCGCCCCTGCCGTTGGCGTAGTAGTTGGTGTGGATGCGGATGCCGGCCGGGCTCTCGCTGCCAATCAGCTCAAAGTCGATCTCGTCGTGCCGCCCAGGCAGCTTGCTCGTGAGCTTGTAACGGGGACGGGTGGGAGGGGGCCGGGGAGGTCGAAGAGACGGGTGGGAGGGAGGGGTTGAGCCGCGGGAGTGGGTCGGGTGGGTTGGGATGGGATGCGGTGGGATGGGATGGGATGGGATGGGATGGGATGAGATGGGGATGACATGGACGAAAATAGGGATGGCATGCCAACATGCCGGCATGTTTTTCAGTGATGCCGCCACTGTCTGCTGAGGTGCTTCACGCAGCATCGGTCACTCCTGCTTGACGCTCACAGACAGACACTCAAGACGCCGCCCCTGCGAAGCGTGGCGCGACTCCTGGGCAGCCTGCCGTGACAGCGACTCACATAGAAGGTGGTGATGACGCTCCCCGAGTACACGGGCGGCACCTTGATCCGCGCCGACGCGAAGCCGTAGTGCAGGAACGACTTGGAGCTGACAGCGCCCACTGCGCGCACGGAGGGGAATGGGCGGGGAAGGGCCGAAAGAAGATGAGCGGAGGCGAGGGTGTGTGTTGTCAGGCGAAGAGAGTAGAATGGCGGAAGATGGGAAGCGTGGCGCGCTGCAATGCACTGTGGATGGTAAGGAAAAAGGGGCGGAGATCGGTGATTGGTGCGTGCGCGCGTGCGCGGGAGCATGCGCGTGAGTGGGTATGCAATCGCGGCTCACATCCGGCGTATTGGTCGAGCGTCAGCCGCACGTCGCCGGAAGCGCTGCTGATCTCCGTCAGCTGCGGCACGCCCACCACCTCCAAGTCCGCTGCACCGAGCGACGACTCAGACGACTCCTGCGACGTGAGCGAAGCTGACGACGGCTTATGCGAAGTGGCAGCGGAACCAGACACGGAGGCCGCGAGAGGCTGCCGCCCGTTGTCGTCTTTGTCGTCGGCGGGCGCAATCACTCCCTTACTCGCTGCAGGCTTCACACCTTGGCCCTCCTTCTCCTTCTTCTCTTTCTCCGTCTTCTCCTGCTGCTCCTGCTCGTCGCCCTGCTGCACCTCGTCGTTCGCCCCCGCCACTGGCGTCGCAACTGTTTCCTCGTTATCCTTGTCAACCCCCGCCGCCGTCACCGCACCCGAAGAAGATTCTTGGCCCACCTCGCTCTCGCCCTTGCCCTCACCGTCGCCCTCTCCCTCTCCCTCAACCTCGCCCTCTCCATCCACCTCTCCATCTCCCTCTCCCGCCACCTCTTCTTGCTCATCGTTCCCCTCTGCCGTCTTCCCCACATCACCATCCTCTCCCGCATCTTGCGCCAACTCTCCGCCCGCCTCGCCGGTTACCTCCGCGCCGTCAATCTCTTCCTTCAAGGAGTCCCCTTCAGTTCCCCCGCCGCCCTTCCCCCCTTTAGAAGCTTCCGAATCACCGCCAGCATTCGACTCCACCGCGATGCCATTGTGCTCTGCATCAGTAGTATCGTCATTCGTGCCACCAGCATCCGCAGTCGTGCCACCGGCATCAGCAGTCGCCGTGCCATCGGAACGCGCCGGAATATCGTCCAAGTTCGCGTCTTTTGCCGTCTGCAGCGGCTTCACCCGAGCCGCGTCGGGTTCTTCGAGGTCACCGTTTCCGTCCGTTACGGCTGCCACTCGTATCTGAGCGATCCGGGCGATCAGTTCGCCAATGCCGTTGCTGCCGCTGACAGCATCGTCCGCCACGGAGGCGCTGCTGCCTTCGCCGAGTTCCGCGCCGCGCTTCCCCGCGGCAGCTGAGTTATCCAAGAGAAGTCGACTCGCGTCGCTAGCTGTTTCCGTTGCAAATGACGGGACTTTCATCTGAGTCGGCAAAGGTCTTTCGCCGCTCCCAGGCTGGGACAGTGCCATGCGGCAGGGCCTCCCATCGGCGGACGGTTCGCCTGCAGCACCGGGTCCGCCGCACACGGGAGGCTGCGACGCGGAAACGCTAGCTTGCTGACGTGGAGCTGCTTGACTGGAATCGGAACCGTCTGGAGGGTGAAAGTCGGGTTTTGCCTCCAGGGAGTTGCTGGAGAGGAATTTTCGGATTGTGAGCTGTTGCGACTCGCGCGGTTTCATAAAGTGTGGGTGGAAGGAGGGGATCGCAGCGGAAGGCAGCAGAAGGACGGCGAGAAGCTGAGAAAGGATGACGAGTGGAGTTAGAAGCACGGATCGCGTCATGCCTGACGGTGGGAGGGAGATGCAACGTAACAGAGGATAATGCCAATGCCTTATAGCCCGAAGCTGGAGGGTCAGAGGGGAAACCACACTACTGAAAATGTCTGCAATGACGTGAAATGAAGGAGCTGCAGAGGAAGGAGTAAACAAACATGAGAACAAACGAGGTAGGGATTGGGAATGAGGAAATGACGAACCGCCCCGGTTTCGGATTTCCGATTCCTTTGGGCAGTGGCTTTGACACCGCCTCGCTTTTCCGCTCGCGTCCGATTCCTTGGGGCAGCTGATTTCGACATTTCCAGTTTCCGGTGACCAGAAAAATTATTAAGTTTACCTGGTATTAGTCTAGTGGCCAGTGAAAAAAAATAAACCCCTTTCGGAGGGCTGGCCATTAGGGAGGCATCAACCCTAAACACCTTGCCTCATGGTGTTTAGGGTTGATGCCTCCCTGACGGCGTCCCCCCCGTGAGGGGTTTATATTTTTTGTCCCATTAAATAAAACAAAGTTGTAGTTTCTGGACTCCAAATGGGAAAATAGCGTAATTTACTGACCGAAGGTATCGGACGCGAGCGCGAAGCGAGGCGCTGTCAAAACCACTGCCCAAAGGAATCGGAAACCCGAAACCAGGGCGCTCCGTCATTCCCTCGATTGGGAATACAAGCTCCCTCTGGAGAAACTCGCGATGCGATGAGATGAGACCCCGAATTTGATGCGACGCGACACGGTGCGCAACAACCATCCAGTGGGGGCGGTGTTTTCGGGCACGGGCAGGTCAGAGGAAGTCTGCTGGGGCAGCTGCGAAATCTGGCAGGCCAATGGAGCGTCAGATCGTTCGCATTGACTGTGTATGGCTTGTGGCGAAGAACATCTGCACAGTACAGTACAAGTGGTCAGAGCACCGCCTAGTCAGAGAACTTGATGGGGGCGCGAGATTTGAACTTTAGCACGTGGCTTCCTATCATTAGCTGAAATTTGAACAGTGTGGATGCATCTGGGCACACGCCTGGACGCTCTGAGACAGACAGGAGTTGAACTGGCGGGAAGGAACCGAGTCGCTGTCCTACATTGAGCTATTTGATACCGCAAAATGAAAACAGACAATAACCCGTATCCAAGAGAAGAAAATAGAGCAAGTCCACATCTTCATTTCCCACAAACCCATACTTCATAAATACTAACCACAATAATAACCTCAACAGGCCCAAATGATATCAATAGAATAAATAAAAAGTCATTGCGAAGTTGCAGGTTAATACCTAAACTGCAAAATTGACATAACATACGCCCAATAGTAGGGGCTACCTAATATAGGCGGCTGCATGGGGGTAGGTAAAGATACGAACGTGAAACTGCGCCAAAAAAAGGTCAAAACCTGTGATGTCATTGTAGCCGCTTCCCAAATAACTTGGGACCTGAATTGTTTCCGGATGATCCTGCTGCTGCTGCAGTTCCAAGAGCATCCGCTGCTCCTCCAGGTGCATTGGCTTGTGGATGGAGTGATTGCACCTGGGTGTGCACTTGTCCCCTCTGAGCATCTTCAAGGGACAGAAAAACGGATGCCAACGGCAAGCCCGCACTGGAAGCAGGCTTATGGCTCTCCCTTGCCTCGAGATTTGGCGTCGCAAGGGAGGAAGACACAAACGGGGGAGCCAATCGGGTCAGTGTGGCGGTTCTGGTGGTTGCACTGAATGCCAGTCCAGCTGTGGCTGCTGTGCCTGCCACGTGCGGTGCGTCCAAAGGAGAGACAGAGGCAGATGTAAGGGCACGAGCAGCAGCACCAACACCAGAGCCATGGATGGGTAGTGCGGCAGGAGGAGCAGGAGGAGCGTGAGGTGGAGCCATGTCAGCCAACTGAGAGAAAGGAAAGGCCGTGCCAGCAGCAGCAGCAGCAGCAGCAGCAGCAAGGGCTCCAGCAGTGCTCCTACCAAAACCTGATACAGCTGTCATAGTGGCGGCCACCGATGTTGAAGGTACAGCAGCAGCAGCAGCAGCAGCAGCGGCAGCAGCAGATGATGTGAGTGAATGGAACGGCAAGGACTGCTGGGAGGAAAAGGTGAGCAGAGCTGGGTTGTAGGCAGCAAGAGTGTGACTGCTCAGGGGCGTGGCGATGCTTCTGGGGCTGGCAGCAGGCTCAGACCCCTCAGCCGTAGCAGCAGCAGCAGCAGCAGCAGCAGCAGCAGCAGCTGCTGCTGCTGCTGCCATCCAGTCTGGAGCAATTTGATCCATGACCACGCCCATTGCCATGCCTGTGCTCGCCGCATGGGCATCAGTGCTGGTTGCGGTGCTGCTGCTGCTGGGAGCGTTGGTAGTGCCCCGGCTTTTGCTCGGGGAGTGAGACAGGACGGCCATGGGAGGAGGGAAGATGGGTGGGGGCTGAGCGTGTGCTGCAACGCTGGCGAGAGTGTGGAGTTGCAGCTGTGCTGCTGTTCTTGGACTGAGGGCGTGTGCGGAAAGAACAGCAAGGAGAGAGTTGGAAGCTCCTCCTCCTCCTCCTCCTCCTCCTCCTCCTCCTCCTCCTCCTCCTCCTCCTCCTCCTCCTCCTCCTCCTCCTCCTCCTCCTCCTCCTCCTCCTTCCCCCGCCCCTCCTCCCCCTCTCCCCCCTCCTCCTCCCGGCCCTCCTCCCCCTTCCCCCCGTCCTCCCCCTCCTCCCCCTCCGCCCCTTCCCCCACCTCCTCCTCCCGTTGCTGCTGCTGCATGGCGGAAGGGTGAATTCCATGCTGCTCGTGTTTCCATAGCCTCGCCGTCCGCCTTGATTCTCTGTGCGGCGGCCTCGTCTGCGGCCAAAGATACTGTCCCCAGCAGCCCACCTCCGGTGGCACCCATCTGCTTCCAAGGGGATGAGGCCAGGTGAGGAGAGGAAAAGCCAGTTTCAGCTGCTGCTGCTGCTGCTGCTGCTGCTGGTTTTTCTGTATAGGTAGTAGCAGACGTATCAGCAGCAGAAGCGTTGTTGGGTGCAGCAGCAGCAGGAGCAGGAGCAGCAGCAGGAACAGCAACAGGAGCAGCAGCAGGAGCAGCAGCAGGAGCAGCAGCAGGAGCAGCAGCAGGAGCAGCAGCAGGAGCAGCAGCAGGAGCAGCAGCAGGAGCAGCAGCAGGAGCAGCAGCAGGAGCAGCAACAGGAGCAGTAGGGGCGGCAGCAGCAGCAGCAACAGCCTTGTTCTTCCGCAGCTTGGCTGCCTCCATGGCCATGAGTCTTGCCCACCCACTCCGCGCTGTCATTCCAGGCGCACTCGCCGTAGGAGCCGCCGCCGCCGCCGCCGCCGCCGCAGCAGCACCTGCTGCTGTCGCAAATCGAGACGAGGCGGCAGCAGCAGAGGAAGAAGAAGCTGAGGGAAAGTTGGAGGTGGGAGAGCCTAGGTCCTGCATTGATCCTTCCACTTGCATTCTCTCCACACCGTCCCCACCCTGCCTCACCATCCCTTGCCTCTTTCCCTCTCCAGCAGCTGCGGAAGCAGCAGCGGCAGCAGCAGAGGCAAGGGCATCAGCAACTCCCATCCTGCTGCTCTCCCCACCCATCCCCGCCTGCATCCGCAGCAGCATGCGCTGCAACGAATCATCCTTCCCACCCTCTCTCTCTACCGCACTGTTGGTCGTCCCGGCACCATCGCCACCAGCAGCAGCAGCAGCAGCAGCAGAAGCAGCAGCAGCAGAGACGGCAGAGACAGAGGGGGCAGAAGGAGCAGCCCCTGTGTGACTGGAGCTCGTCGCTTGAAAAGAAAACGCCTCTTCTCCCTTCGATCCAGTCCCCCAGCCTGCTGCTCCTCCCCCTTCTCCCATCCCCACTCCCGCCGCCCCACTGATTGCCCCACCCAAGGCACCAGCACCAACAGCGGCAAAAACGCTGGTGTGAGCATTAGAATTAGCATTAGCAGCAGCAGAAGCAGAGTCGTCAGCGGGGGTGTGGCTATGCTCGCCCTCGTACGTGGTAACCACCATAGCAGGGTTGGAAGGGCACCGCTGCACGTGCTTTTTCATGCTGCACCCCGGGTACCCGCACTTGTAATAGCTCCTGGTGGAAAAGAAGGGGGGGCATGTAATGGAAGGAGGGATCAGAACAGGTATATAAAAACAGAATCAAACAGGCATTATTTCCTTGAGGCGCCTTGAAAAAGCGTCTCGCTTCATGCAGCAGCTACTTGCAGGGCAGGCATGAAGCAATCGCGGGCAACTGGTCGTGTAGCAAACATGCGGGCATGACATTGGGCACCAAAACTCTTAGTAGCTCCTGAAAGAGAAAGAAAAGAAAAGAAAAGAAAAGAAAAAGTGGTGGAAGCCCTTCCGCTCTCACTCCCACGCCCACTCCCACGCCCACTCCCACGCCCACGCCCACGCTCACGCCCACTCCCCTGCACATGCACCCACCTGGGAAAGGGGCAGTTTTTGATCTCCTTGTGGCCGTACTTGCGCCACTTGTGGCCGTCCCTCAGCACGTCGTTCTCGCCACACTCCGTGCGCACCACCACGCGCTTCTGCTGCCCCTGCACGCGCAGCCGCCCTGACAACGGCACCAGCACTGGATCACCCGCACCACCCGCCTGTGAGCCTGACTGTACCTGTGCCCGATCCTGCGCCCGTGCCTGTGCGTGTGCTTGCGCCTGTGCATTTGCCTGTGTGTCTGCGTGTTCCTGTGCCTGCGCATGTGCCTGTGCGTCCTGCGCTTGTGTTTGTGCCTGCACGTCTGCGTGTGCTAGAGCTTGCGCCTGCGCCCGTGCCCATGCCCGTGCCTGTGCCTGCGCCTGTGCTTGTGCTTGCAGCACCGCCTGCACGCGGCTCAGGCCTTCCGTAATCGGGTCAACAGCAGCCTCTGCTTCTTGAACCCTCTGCATCCCCTGCATCCCCTGCATCCCCTGCATCCCCTGCATCCCCTGCACCCCCTGCATCCCCTGCATCCCCTGCATCCCCTGCATCCCCTGCACCCCCTGCATCCCCTGCATCCCCTGCACCCCCTGCATCCCCTGCTTCCCCTGCACCCCCTGCATCCCCTGCACCCCCTGCATCCCCTGCATCCCCTGCATCCCCTGCTTCCCCTGCACCCCCTGCATCCCCTGCACCCCCTGCATCCCCTGCTTCCCCTGCACCCCCTGCATCCCCTGCACCCCCTGCTTCCCCTGCACCCCCTGCATCCCCTGCACCCCCTGCACCCCCTGCACCCCCTGCACCCCCTGCATCCCCTGCACCCCCTGCATCCCCTGCATCCCCTGCACCCCCTGCATCCCCTGCACCCCCTGCATCCCCTGCTTCCCCTGCATCCCAACGTCTCCACCTCCACGTCCACCTCCGCTGACAACCACACGTTGAATCCCCTGCTTCTCACACACGTTTTCCTGATCACCAGAAACAACGCCTCTGCCCAGCAAATCCCCTGCAACTTCTCCCTCACTCACCGCTCCCCACGCCTCTCCCCTCCCCTGACCCCGCACCTCCACCCCCATGTCCCCCCTCACCTCTCCTCCTACCTCTCCCCTCACCTCTCCCCTCACCGCTCCCCTCATCTCATCCCCCCACAATCCTCTCGCCCTTGCGCCACCATCCCACGCAATTGAATCTTCTGTTTTAGCAGCAGGTGCCGCCGCTGCTCCACCTGCCGCCACTGCTGCACCCGCCGCCCCTGGTGCCGCGTCACTGCCTACGAGCCTGCTGCTGTGGCCAAGAGCCGCCCTGAGCGCGGCCCCTATGCCGTGCGACGACTGCAGGACGGATTGAAGGTGCTCCAGCAAGCGCGAGGGCTGTTGCCCTGCATTGAACACGGGAGGACGGCTGGTGAGGGCAGCGAGGGGTGCGAGGGAGGCGAGGGGCCCGAGGGAGGCGAAGGAAGCTAGGGAGGAAAGGGAGGCTGCGTGAGAATGCAGCTGGAGAGATGAAGGGGAGGGGACAGTGAAGAGCGGGGCGGGCAGTGGTGCGGAGGACGGGCGGAGGGGGGAGGGAAGTGTGGGCGCAGAGGTAAGAGATGGTCGATTGACAGTGCGGCTTGGGTTGGTGGCTTGGGATGGGGAGGACGGCGGTTGCGGAAAGTGTGCAGGAGGGAAGGCAGTGGCGGAAAAATAGGGTTCAGGGAATCCCTGTGGGGCGGATTCAACACCACTGGCAGCAGGAGGAGCAGGAGGCGCAGAAGCAGCAGCAGCAGCAGATGCACCAGCTTCATCACGAGCAGCACGAGCAGCGGCAGCAGCAGCAGCCACAGCATCCAAAGCTCCAGTGGCTTCAAGCATTCCTGCAAGTGCATTCTCCTCCCTTGCATCCTCTTCCAAACACCCGCCCTCTTCCGCGGTTCCTTCTTGTATGCCCTCTCTCCCGTCCGTGACCGCAGGAGGTGCATGTGGACCGTACGATCCATGCGATCCAACGGACCACAGCCTGAGCCAGTCCGAGGGAAGCGGCGCAGAGGGAGCCGATTCTGCCAGCCCAAGCGCAGTTGCAGTGAGGCCTGCTGCAGCAGCACCAGAAGAGGTAGAATCATTTGCGGTCACGGCGGCAGCAGAAGCTGCAGCAGCACAAGGAGACGCATCCGCAGCAGCAGCAGCAGCAGCAGCAGCAGCAGCAGCAGCAGCAGCAGCAGCAGCAGCAGCAGCAGCAGCAGCAGCAGCAGCAGCAGCAGCAGCAGCAGCAGCAGCAGCAGCAGCAGCAGCAGCAGCAGCAGCAGCAGCAGCAGCAGCAGCAGCAGCAGCAGCAGCAGCAGCAGCAGCAGCAGCAGCAGTGGAAATATCTGCGGTCGCGGCGGCAGCAGTGGCTGCAGTGGGGTGGTCAGGATGGTGTGTCGTCAAATCCCCCAAGCCTCCCAAGCCCCCCAAGTCCCCCAGAGAGCCAGACAGCACGTGGCGTTCCATCCGTCCCTGCAACCCCCACGCGCGCGCATCCCTCACGCGCCCTTCCCCCCATGCGTCCCAGTCCGCCTGGCGCTTCTGCCCCCTCGCCTCCGCACCCCCCGGCCATGTCAACGCCCCCATGGGCGCACCTTCCCCACTCCCAGCAGCAGCCGCAGCAACAGCAGCAGCAGCAGCAGCAGCAGGCAGCAGCAGCAGCAGCAGCAGAAGCAGAAGCAGAAGCAGAAGCAGAAGCGGAAGCAGCAGCTGCATTCATGCCATCAGCAGCTAGTGCACTGCCGCGGTCTCCTAGTGCTGCTGCACGTGCACCTGCACCCCCCCTCCTCATGCCTCCTCCACCCCCCATCCACCAGCGCAGGCACTCCTCCAGTCCGCCCCCTGCTGTGCCACTGCTTCCACTCGCATAACCCCCCATCGCCCCTGCACCAGCACCCGCACCTGCAGCAACAGCAGCAGAAGCACCTGGTGCTGCAGCAGCAGGAAGAGCATGTATTCTACCATCGCCACCAGCAACGCTAGTACCACCAGCAGCCGCAGCAGCAGCAGCATCATCCGCAGAAGCAAGAGCAGCACGAGCAGTAAGAGCCTGCAGAGCTGTTTCGAGTGTAGCACCCTTCGGACGACTATCCCCCCACCCACTCGCCCTGCCACCGCCCTTCGCTCCTCCTCCTTCTCCTCTTCCTCCTCCCTCCTCGCCTCTTGCCTCTGCCTCCCTACCAGTCGCCTCCTCTTCTTCCTTCTGCTCCGCCTCCTCCTCCTGCTTTTCCTCCTCCTCCTCCTTACCAGCTCCGGGCTCCTGCTCTCCTCCCCCTTCTCCTTGCCACCACCACCGCCCTTCACCTCTCATCCCCTCTCCCTCTTCCCCTCCACCCACCCCGACTCCCCCACTACCAACACCAGCAGCACCCGCACCCCACGCGCCGACTCCCGATCCTTCCCTCCCACCTCTGCCTCCTCCTGCTTCCCCGCCGCCCTGCTCCCTCCCTCCCCTTCCTCTTCCCGTGCCTCCTCCCTCCCCGCGCCAGCTCCCCGCTTCCTCCCACGTCGCCTCTCTCCTCCTGCCTTCACCACCGGTGCTTGCACCCCGGGGTTCGGAGCGTCCAGCGCGGTCGTCAGTGCTGAACGGGCTGCTACTGGGGGAGGTCACACCGTGGAGCGCGCGGCCACGATTACCTGCTCCTGGGGGGAGCGACACTGCTGCAGCAACAGCGCCATCAGCACCAGCTGAACCGCCAGCAGCCGCGTCTACCACAGCAGCAGCAGCAGAAGCAGCAGAAGCAGCAGAAGCAGAAGCAGCAGCCGAGTTGCCAGCTGCTGCAGCGGCAGTTCCAGGTGTCACTTGCATGGCAGGTCGGGTCTGGCACTCCCTGATGGCACTGGGCTTTGTTGGAGAGTGCATTTGCTCTCCCCTCCCTACTTTCCACGGGAGAACAGCCGATGCAACAAGCCCGGCGAATTCAGCCGCACCAGTGGGACTGCCTATGTGAACAGGAGCCGGGAAAGGCACGACGCGGGATCTCCCTAGAGTAGTAGTAGCAGCAACAAAGGGGTGTAGAGCGGTTGGAGGGCTCATCATTCTCAGCATCGAAGCAACCCCTCCACCTCCCCTTACCCCGCCCCCTCCTCCTCCCCCTCCCCCTGGCCCCCCCTCGTGGCCGCTGCTGCTAACTCCATTAAGCAGCGGATGGGGAGACCAGTGTTCAAACTGCCGGCAAGTGGTCAAATCAGCCTCCGCCACGTGGCACTTGATCACCTGGCTGTCGCCCGCGCAAGCATGGGGGAGAGAGCAGGGCGGAAAGAGGCTGGTGGCGGAGGTGGGGGCGAATGGCGCAGGTTCCCCTGAGTACTCGGGGGAGGCAGCAGCGGCTGTAGCAGCAGCGGCGGCTGTAGCGGTTTCGGTGGCGGGGGCGGAGGTGGTGGTGGTGGCTGTAGCGGCGGCGGCGGTGGTGGCAGGGAGGCTAATCCATTGCACGAGGTCGCGGACAGGGGCAGCGGCGCGCAGTGCCTCGTCACCCGCCTGCCTGCTGCCGCTGCTAGTGCTACCCCTCCTCCTCCTGCTGCCGCCGCTGCTGCCGCTGCCACAGCTGGTAATGGAGCCGCGTTTGGGGGACCTGCTGCTGTCGCCGTTACGTGTCGCCATGGCCGCATTATTCAATTGCCGCGTCGCATTCCGTATCGGATGCGCGGCGCCGCTTGCCCGCGCGGCGGCGGCGGCGGCGGCGGCCGCCGCGGTCGCCGGCCCTGCAGACATCACGGGATCTGCGCGGAATGCGGGGGCGTTGCGAGCGGTGCTCGCGGCGGCTTCATGGATAGCGGGGACAGCAGCAGCGCTGGTAACATTCGGGCGGCCGCCGCGCGACGCCATAGTTGCCAGCGACGGATCACGGGTCTCCAGCCGCGCCGCAGCGCGCGGCGGGGACAAATCATTCTCGACAGCGGCTCGCGGTTCACAGCCCTCCGCGAAGTCACTTCGACAATATCCTGAAAACATCACGTGGCGGCTCGGCCCGTCTGCAGATTGATCACAATTGCTTCTTATTGCTGCTGCTGCTGCTGCTGGTGCCGATTCTGTTGTTCGCGCCGTGATTCGCGGGCCAGCTACCGGAGCTGCTCTTTCCTCGGCAAACAGCTCCGCCGCCGCCGCCGCCGCCGCAGCCGCCATCGCAGCGCCACATGCCTCCTCCGACTCCAGGAGGCTTTCCGCCCTGTCGGCCAGCGATTCTGGGTTTTCGTTCGCGCGTCGCGCGTTCCGCGACCAAGCCGCGAAAACTCCGCCACCGCCACTCCCAGAAGCAGTATCTCGCGAGTCCTGATCGGGCGAGGCCGCAGCCGTCAGCGCGGCCGCGTCTGGCCGGATGATTCCGAACCCCAGCATTCCCGCTGACCGCGACCGCGCGCTTGCAATGCGCGCTTCGCCGCATTCTCGGTCTACAGTGCTGTGAAATAAAGCCGTTTGAAAGCGCTGCGGCGACGATTTGGGCTCCGCGAAGCGGGTCTGGGAGCCAGTCCGGAATTCGGCTGCCAGCTCCGCCGCCGCTGCGACAGCCGCAAAGTGGTCATCTGGGCGCTGCGCGGCGGTAGCTCCGGCTTGGGGCGATGCGGATGACGGCCCTTTATTTCCATGCGATCCGCGCCGCGCAGAGGGCGGGGTCATGGACTTGAAGAGTCGGGCGTAAGATACATCCAAGAGTTGAGTCTGCTCGAAGACGCTGAGCCGGTGCGGCGCGATGAAGTCAGGACGAAGAGGGTTTTGGATAAGAATGGGAGAAATCTGCGACTCGGCTGGAAACTTCGCGGATTTGTCCGAAGTCTCAAAAGCAACGCGCCGCGTTGTGAATGTGCTGTTGAAGGAGTCCGTAGCCAGGCTCCGTCGACGCCAGCACCGTGGCACCACCAAAAACCGCTACGCTCGATTGTGTGAGCAAATTCGATGGAGCAGGTAATTTTGTCGGGAAAGAAGGCGCTTCGGTCGGTTATGAATCATGAAACGTTGTGACAACAACGACGGCCTAAGTACGTGAGCAATCGAGGGGAGCCTGGCGCCGCGATGAACTGCGTTGCACAATTGAGCTTCTAGTCAGAGTACCTCAGTGAATGACGAGAGCTGCCTTTCCCGCGACCGAGTTCTGACGACGACTCGTCGGGCCTCAGGTCAAAAGCCCCCTTTCAAGAAACGTCAAAGAACGTCGCGGAAAAAATCGTCGGGATACTACGTCACGCGCGCAGGGGAGACGCAGGTCACGGGCTCATGTCGCCGTCAGAGCAGCAAATCCACTTGGGCTTGCGACGCATTGTGCGCTACCGAAAACGCGTTATGCGGCAAGAGCTGCAGACCCGTGATTCAGCGAAGTACCTACTGCTTGCGGCGCCTCTACAAGCAATAAAAGTAGTACGGCTGAGGCGACAACGTGTAGTGAAGATGATCATGCTTGGCGGAACGATCACAGCAACGGATAAATCAGCACTCGTTGGTGCGCTTGAAAGCAGAGCATCTAACAAAAGCAGACACTTGTTGGCCATATGAGCGCCGACAAGAATTGCTTGATCAATTGCATGACGACGAGCAAGTGATTACGGAATGACAAGAGTTTTGGGGCATGCGAGAGCTCGTGACGATCAGGGGTCATCGCCGTGCTTGGGTGACCAAGAGAGAGGTGGGAGAATCACGACAGAAAGAGGTGGTGGTGTACAACATGATCCATCGTCATCTCATCCAACCCCACTCGCTTCTTGGTAAACTGTACCCTTCAAAGCATGGCAAGCGAAGGAGAAGTATGCGGATATTTGTCCTTGGGTAGCGAACTATGATTTGGGCAGGGCATGATGAAAGGGACGGTATCGTGTCGTGTGTGTGATCCACTCGGAGTCGCCCAGTGGCGGCGCTGCACACAATTTGACGGCTCCCGCTGGATTTTCCTTTGGCAGCCAACTGCCAAATCGATGTTGTGGTTTGTCTTTGTGGGCAGGTAAATTCTGAGAAACCCTAGGTATCCAATACCTCCAGAAAACGCTCTCCAGTTTTGAGACACACGTGAATAAGCAATTATGTGTAAGATTCACAAGTCTGTTTCACCCTTGCACTTTCCAAAAGAGCGGCATTTGAGAGAACGATGAGCTTTTCCATTAACGCCGCCAGTTTCGACCGCGACGGAAGCTTGTAACATGCTGTGTGAGTTTCACTACTAAGATCATAAAAGTGAGGTGATCAACGCCAGCGATCAGGAAAGGGTCATCCCTAAAATTAGCACGGCGAAATACACAGTGCACATCCTACCCATGTGACCATGCAGGCAGATCACGGGCCTGATTGGGCTATGAAGCTAAAATCCGTAACGGATGTGTAGTATAAAGGGACCAGACCAGGGCTCTCTTTTCGTTTCGGGGCACTCTTCCAGATCAGGGTTCGGCGCGCGGAAAAATCGGGGTAGTGGCAGGGTAATTTGTTCGAGGGCCCTGATTTGCAGTGTCACTATCTGCGCTACTCTGCCTAAGAGAGAGAAAGTGACTTGTCACAATTTCGAGAATTGCTGTGTTGGACTGGCTTGCTCTACAACTGTATCTGCGAGTCTTTTAATAAACAATTTCTTACCAAAACGTCGCAATATGATTGCAGCTCCGGTCCACAGCTGTGTCTGCGAGTCTCAGTACTTCGACATTTTTTGACACAAAGTTTGTCTGCTCTCCTTTGCAGGGTGCTCGTGCAACTTCGTGCTCGAAATTGTGACAAGTCACCAACTCTCTCTTAGGCAGAGTAGCGCAGATAGTGACACTGCAAATCAGGGCCCTCGAACAAATTACCCTGCCACTACCCTGATTTTCCCGCGCGGCGGGAACCCTGATCTGGAAGAGTGCCCCGAAACGAAAAGAGAGCCCTGATCTAGCCAGACCACCTTTGATGTACAGTTCAGCTCTCGTGCATGCAACAGAAGAGAACCTAGAGCTTGTCAAAACCGTACAGTAACAAGAGAGGGTGGTGGTGATGTCCCGACAAAACATTTGGCAGTGTATACAGCGAGGTATTGCAACCGAACCTTTCTCACTTGGCGTTTTTGCAAGAGCGTAAATAAGGCGGCATAATTTGTTCGAGAGCATAAGTCTCCGCTTCCTTCAGCATGGCACGCTACACCTAGCCCGCGCTATTTTCACGCCCTGCAACTTGTTTCGGCAAGCACCCTGAACCCGATTTTGGCTTTTACCAGTAAACTCCCAGAAATTGAAGGCTACAAACCACTCAGCCAAGTGTCGAGATATTAAAAAAAAACCGCACTCTTACCGCGGCGACTCGACCATAGTTTATTGTGACCCGTTTTTCATCCCCTCTAACTCGTCAGAGATGTCTGAAACGTGCCATCTTTAAAACGAAAGCAATCGAAGCAGCCCTTTAATATCGGGTAAATCAGAAATAATTACACAGGGGGGTGAAAATGGCCCTAGTGAATTTGGCGCGGGCTAGGTGTAGCGGGAAGTGCAAGGGAACCCACATTATTACACCTAGCCACCGCTATTTTCAACTTCAAACCTTGGCACTGTTCCCGATTTTCATATAAACCCTGCCCAGCTTTCGGGGTTTTTTGTTAGAAACCTCGTCTTAGGGGACTATAAATGACGTCAAATGGAGATTTCAATCGGGCGAGTGTAAGACAATTTCCGCTCGTGTGGAGTCTGCTTCCTGTTGCGCATCCCATTGCGTAGCTTTCAGGAGGCATGAACTAACTTTTCGTAGAGCGTATGACGTCCGACACAACCCTCGGTCAAAAACGTTTTGAAGGGTGCCTACCCCTTTGCACACGTGGGGGTTGAAGATAGACCGAAAGAAAATAGCGGTGGTTAGGTGTACCCTCTTAT